TTGCATAACTTAGGCTGCCGCGATTTTGTGCGCGCGCAAGATTCGATCACGTATGAAATCCGCGCTTTAGAAGTTTGGGAGTGTGCGCATAGCTGACGTTTATTTGACATCTGTTATTGTCTCGCGAGTTTACGATTAAAGCTAGAGCGTCTCGCTTTTATGTACTCTTTGAATATTTATTATTCTGTTGTTTTTATAAATATACAGGGTGTCCCGAAATTTAGACGGTCATATTTTAACAGCATAATCTACATCCTAAAATAGGAGTAAAAGTTTATATAAACATAGGTCCGAAAACGTTTCTTTTCCGAGATACAGGGTGTTAAAAGTGAAGTCCTGATTACACTCTTTTGTAAATATTTTCTAAATGTTTAAAGATAACTAAGTGAAATTTGGTACAAATGCTTAGCTTTTTACGCTCTATTTAATGGACTAAATCCCAGTTTCTGATCATCTTCATAGGTGGGTAAATTAGGGGGGGCTTAGGGTAAAATTGCCCTAAGTTTTTTTTTGTTGACAGTTTTTAACATTTTTGACTATAAAATTTGGAAAACCAATGTTTTCTTTATAATAAAGCTACTTTTGTTGCATCTCGCTAGGACGCACCATTTTCAAGAAAAAAGCATTTGAAAATTTCATGATAAGTTATTTGAAAATGTAAACAATAATTAGTAGGTCTATGAAATTAGAAATTTTATTTTTTTTGTACTTTGGAAAACCGGTGACTAAAGAAATTTTAGAAAATATTTACAAAAATGTGCCATCAGGACTTCACTTGTAACACCCTGTATCTCGAAAACGAAACGTTTTCATACCTATGTTTATATGAACTTTTATTCTTATTTTAGGATGTAGATTGCGCTGTTAAAATATGACCGTCTAATTTCAGGACATCCTGTATAGTTTATGTGTTGTTTTTTTATTGATTTTCTTTTTAGTTATGCTTAAAGCGTCCCTATATATCTAAAGCAGAGAAAGTAATTAATGTTCAAGAGAGGTAAATAAATAGAGAAGTCTTAATTTTGTTTTGTTTATTGTAATTTATAAAATTGTTAGAAAATTAAACTTTTCTTTATTACAAAATGTATTATTTTAGAAGTGGTCAAAATCTGAAAAGTGTACATAGTTATAGTTAACAAAATGAAAAACTAAGTGCCAGAATTTACACATTTTTTAGTGATCACTAAATTCAGATGAATTGTTTTCTGAGTAATTGATATCGGAATCGGTATCGCTGTCATATTGCTCGACAATTGTGTTTGCGTTGATAATTAATTCGTTTGAAATACACTTATTTTCTTGCAAAATATCAGTTATTGTTGTCGGCAAAGCTTCCCCAACGAACCAAATAGGTTTTAAAATCTGTACATCCACATTCTTCGGATTTTAAGATTGCGCAGCGAGGTTCAGTCACATTACGCCACATCGAATTAATGTAGATGGTTCTTAATAGTTTTTGTTTTAGAGTCTTCCAGCAAGGCGCAATAAGAGTCGATTCAAATCCTTATACTTTAGTCGCGATTTTTGTATTATTTCCTTTAGTAGCATAAGTTTTATTGAAAATATTATATCTAGCTTCATTGACACTTATACAATTCCTTTCTTTATACAGTAAACATGTGAATTCTTGAACAGAGTCAATAATGTGATTGTCAAATATATTGGAAGGATCCGATAGATATCTGAAAACTTTTTGTATTTTTGAATTTTTTTGAAAACTATTGAAAGGGATGACTTTGCCTTTTATATAAAACGATGCCGAATAATCACAGCCGGTGAAAGCGTGAAACGCTGGCAAGCTATTACAAAGGTTAGACCCCAAACTTGATGCAAGATCATTGTGAATATCAAAAATTAAATGAATTTCAGAGGAAGCCGATGCGCAAACTTTGACGAGAATTTTTTCGTCAATTCTTCCAAACTCAAGTGGAACTACAGCGCCCATCTGATGCAACAAATAAAAGCCATCCATTATTTCAACATCTACAAAAGGTGGCAGTGTCTGTTCTACTCGGGACATGAGTTTTTTGGCCAAAGTTGATTTCTCAGTCTTGCACATTTCGCCATCAATGTGAAATAGAGCCAAAGGAATAGGGACCAAAGGAAAACGGAAACACCGCTCCATATCAACTTTCTTTTCGATGGCAATCTTCAGAAGTCGACCAAATATATCACATTCCATTTTAGTCACAACTTGCTTTTTTCCATCAGAGATTTTTCGTATTGTCTTTACTGAATCGTGTGTAAAGTTAAATATCTTGTTTCGTTTTACACTGCTATTGAAATTCGTTGAATCGCTGGCACAAGAAGAAATTAAACCACTTTATGTATTTAATTCAGTAGATGGATTTCGTTTAAAACCTTTTATATTTGTTAGTAAAGTTATAAATTAATTAACGCATTTGTTAATAATTGCATAGCAAAAAAAGTAAATACTTACAGTTCTTTGCAAATTAATATTAGGATCAGCTCGGTATTTTGGGTTTAAAGTTGTTATTTTCTTTAAGCATTTCGAATGATATCCGGCATCATTTCGGTTTGGTAACAACAAATTTCCGTATTGAAAATTTTTTTCATTTCGAAATTGCAACACTCTGGTTATTTTTTGGAAAGTTTCGTCGCTACATTTTAAGACGTTGCCGTCACTTTTGCAAACAAAACAACTGGCCATCATTATAACAATTTATTATTATCACGACAAAGGGAAAAACTTGCAGAAAGTTACAACTTAAACAATGACAAATGTCAAATAGACGTCAGCTGTGCGCACACTCCCAAACTTCTAAACCGCTGATTTCATACGTGATCGAATCTTGCGCGCGCACAAAATCGCGGCAGCCTAAGTTATGCAAACGCTTTCGCGCGGCAGCCGGGTATTTTCTTGTTGGAAATTTTGCAACTTTTCCAACGGTATTTTGTTTGACTATAAAAGTGATGAGTGTATAAAAGCAACATCGATATAGTACTTTTTGGCCCCATCAGCCACCCATAACGCATGGGATAATCGTCGGCAGCCGGGTTTAGAAAATTATATTTAACTACTATCCATCGATTAAACAGAAAATTAGGCAAAAAAGCGATGGGTGGAGGGTGGCACATATTTTCAAATGTTAATAATTTTTTATAACGTAAAAGGCAAACGATATTGGAGCGGCTGCCGACGGATTACTATTGTACAATATATTACCCGACGTTTTCATGAAAATTTAGCCATACTAGTGATCGACCCAACATTTTGCAGTGGGCTCCTAAACTATATAGGTTACCGTGGAATTTATTGAGAAATTAATATTAAAAAATCACAAAAAATTTTCAACTAGGTTACTTCAAATTTTTTTTTTAATATGAATTTCTCAATAAATTTCAAGGTAACCTATATATTTTATTGTAAAAAACAAAACCTAAATATTTCAAAAACCCTATTTTTAGTTTTTTTCTACTCCATCTAATCAATAAATAATAATACAATTCTAGAATTGTTGTTGAGGTCTTATTTTCTCGTAAGACACTGTACAAATACTCACATTTAAAAAAAAATTCTCAAAAATTTGCACGGTAAGGTATAGTTAAAAGTTCAACATTAGATAGGACTTCAACTATTAGAAAAAAAATAAATTTTAGTCATAATCTAATATTTTTTATTTAACATTGGTGGCGAAAGGGGTGGCGAAAGGACCTCCTTAAAAGTTTCATCTTATGATATTTTTATTATATTGCCAGTGAATAAAATCAACCCAAACTATAAAAGCGAATAAACTGAAAGCAAACTCAAATCTCAGACCATAAGTTCTACCTTTATACAGTGAATCGTTAGTTTATTAGACGATTTATATTATTAAATTAATAAAAAAATAATGTTTCGTTAACATTTCTACATACCAAACTAAAGTCTGGGTAATAAGGCAGAAGAATCCAATATAAAATAAGAAATAATTCAATAACATTTTATTTGTGTTTTCTTATAATTAATTTGTTTTTTTCTTCTTTTTTCTACACTTTTTGATTTTTAAAATTCCTGTTAATAAATTTTAAATAATAGTACAAAAGTACCCGACTAAGCAATGTTTGGCAATAATTAACAAGACAATTAATACAAGGATGATTAAATTGTACAATATTAAATAAATCAACACATTTTTTAAAAACTTGTTGAATCAGAAATTTTTCAAAATTCTCTTGAAATACATAATCTAATAATTTATAAATGGACGGCGTTATACAGGAACCTACAATATACCAGATTTTGGGTTGGTTGGTTGCGGATTTGAGTAATAAAATACTCGTTATGCATTCTGTGAGAACTTACCAAGCCTCAGTTAATTATATACCCTATGAAACTATAAAATGCTAGCCCACATCCTACAACTTTTTCAAATAAACAAAAACTTTTGGTCTGATTATGTCAGCTTTCTGCATAATGTCCAAATATACTTAATAAAATCTTCATTTGTCATGTATGATTTCCAAAAGTGTCGAGAGTACTGTTTTCGTATGCTCTAAAATAAGAATAAATAGTTGTATCATTTAACTCTGCGACACTTTTGGAATATATTTTGCATGTTACATAATTATGATATTCTAGGCACTTTTTAATAAGATATCTACACACACATGATATGCAATTTTTTTTTAACATCTAAATTTTGATAATTCGTGCTAATTAGTGACACAAATTGTACTGATGCATGTACAGGAGTCACAACAGTAGTGTCGTATTTTGGAAAATTAGCTATTTTCAAAGGAATATTCTCCGTATCTTCTTGACAGTTCGCTGACCCAGAATTAAAAATGGCAATACACAGTAGCTTTTTGAAAGAAGCCTGAAATGAGTTACTGTCAGATTCATACAATTTCCACCTTTTTTTAAAGGTTTTTTTGGGTATTTTAATTTTATTTTAATCTGGATTTATTATGAAATAAATAAGTCCGTTAGGAGTTTACTTTTTGAAATAAACATATTAGAAAATATTACTAATTTGGAAAAAAATCTAGGCTGGAAATCAGCTGTAGGGGTTATTGAGGTGTGATGACTGAAGGTGTCCTGTTCTATAGTGTGGGACACTAAGGCCGTAAAGTGGTCGAAGTGATCCATAGAAGGATACTTTGAAGTCAGGGGTAGATGATTTATCAACTACGCGATAAGAAGACCATAAGTAAATGGATTTCTTTTCAATTGGGGGTCGGGTGTTCTTTGTCCAGGCGGTGTAAGTCCAGGACGATAAGTCGTGGTTACAGTTAGGAGTTACGTGTAAACCGTAAGTCTGCTGGGAGGAAGCACTTGAATTATGGAGGAAGAAGATTGGTATGAGTACGCGAGACATGTCGCGGAAGGCAAAACCAATAGGTTGATTGAACTCATCGTAATAGGCGATTTCGCTTATTTCGGTTTGTTCATCGATTTGTCCTTCTACGTACTGGATGTAATCGAATGGGATTAATCCTGGTCTGTAGTTGCTATTGTTGTCAGTTAGGGAGTTGTGGATGTTGGGCATGGGTAGGGTAAAGCCTACGATGTCGTAAGATTCAATGTTGAATCCTAATGTACAACAAAGTTTGATGTACTCCGGGATTGGGTTGTATGGTTGAAACCATGCAACGTTTGGAGTGACATTAACTTCGGGGTCAAAGCCATGAAGAGAAAATGGATCTTCTTCAGGAATGTATTCAGCTCCTGATGTTAACTGGAGGGAAGCGGGAACACATGGGAAGTGTTTAAAGGCGTTTCGGAAATTGTAAGTTGCTCTGTTAGATGGCATGAATCCTATAGTTCTGGCGAACTCGGAATCTGTTGTGTATTGAGCTTGGTCTAGCTCTTTACCAACGGGAAGTTTTTGCCAAGTTGGGAGGGAGGGGACGGTTAAGAAGTGAGTCTGAATAAGTGAGCTCGTGCTGTTTTTAACTACGTCTTTTAGAGGTATACAATTTGGGGACTATGTCTTGATAAAGTCAGAGATATTCTTGAGCATCTTCATGATGATGTTTTTATTCTCAAGGCAATAGCCTAGAGTATAGTCATATGGATTAACACTTTTATAATTATCAAATGTGATTGGAGAGAAATGTGGCTTAGCAAGACTAGGTCTTTGGGCTAAGGATCGGTTTATCACAGGGTTGAAGATTCGTTCAAAGGTTGTTAATAACCAATTTTCATGAATTGCTGTCTCGTTTTGGGACAGGTAAGGGCCTCCGAGAAGGTTAGAGATAGTATAATTACTACCACCAATGGTCGTGAGGGTCTGCTGGAATAGTTCTACCAACACAGTATTTGGTTGGGCATTTGTAGGAAATGACGCGAGAATTTGGTGAGCGTAAAGCATCAACAAAGCGGGGATCGTGTGGCCAAAGTCCGTAAGGAATTGGAAGCCAACGTATTCGGGCGTGTACTGGAGTTGGACAAGTTGTTCTTCGTACATGGAAGTAAGATTATCAATTAGGGGTCGTGCTCTGGAAGAGATGTTGAGACGAAGAAGGGAGTCGTAAAACTCTTTCCTGTTCATATCTGTTGTGTAGATTCTAGAGTGGAATGGCCGCTGATTGCGCTTGTTAAATAATTATAGAGGAGTGCTGCATGGATACAGAGTATATCATATCCTATAAGAGAAAAAGTACTTACATAGTTGTAAGACTTAACGTTTAAGTCTGGATATTGTAAACTTACGCATTGGGTAAGATACTGAAGTGTATATCTGGTGTCTGGCTGGACATCGATCGTGAAAGGGATACCTAAATTTAATTCTATTCTTTCGGAAATCTTGACGATAGATATTAAGTCTAGTTCAGGGATAGGTTCTTGGGATGAATTATCCTCTGGAAGAGGTTGTAGCTTTTTGGAGATGTTGACTTCAATTGCATTTGAAGTTGTAGCTGCAGAAGTAGCAGGGGTCGCACTATTTGATTTAGTGGAATTTGTTTGTGGGGGCTTAGGGACGCGGGCGAGATTGGGGGTCTCGTGGGTAGATGCATCATCGTTTTCAAGTTTGGATGGCTCAGTCGAGATAATTGCTGTAGCCTGTTGGGTTACTAGCGGCTCGTCTTGAGTTTGCATGATTACTGGGGTGTCGTGTAAGCGTTTAGATAAGTAGTTTATTTAGTATTTATTGAAAACCGTTAATTTTCGATAAAATAAAACTGTTGTTGCCTGATTAAAAAAAAAGTGTTGGTTCAACCGCCTTGTTAAAAAATATTTAAAACCAATTCCACTTAATCTCTCACGTATTAATTTTAGGGCTTCAATAGATACCATCCAACATTTAATACATTTTATAGAGTTTGTAACCTCTTTGCTATTTTTATCAAAACCTTTTTTTTTTAAACTCATACATTCATCTAAAAATGTTTATTATTCTAACATTTTATAAGGCTGGTTAAACTGTTCTCCTTGACCTGTGGAAGAATTAAGAATAACAAACAACTTATTAAACATGTATATAAATTCAGCAGTACCTTTAGCAGCTTCTGAAAGCACCCCAAATCTAAACTAAATCTAAAACATTTTGTAAAGTTTTGGTCCAGTAAAATAGATCAGCAGGCAAATGTATAAAAATTATAGCACAAATTACAAAACGTTCTCAATCAAAACTTAAAAACGTTTATGTTCATTGACTTCTTTTATCGTGAGTTTTAGTTTCAAAAATAAAATAAATTTAACGCTTTTTTATATTGCTAGGAAATTTTTAATATTTTGTTTTTGTAATGTAGTTCTTTTTTATTGCCATACCTATTTTAATGTGATCTCTTTTTTTTACCAATTTTACTTTTTTTTATTTTTACTGAGTTTTGTTTCTTTAAATATTAATAATTTATTTTTGTCAGACTTGCAAATCTTCATTTTTGTGGTTTTAGATCCGTTTTATTTTTAGTTTTTATTAATGTTCCTAATAGTTTTTTAAAGTTTTTAAGAATATATTATTTTTTTGTTGACTTATTAGCATAAATAATAATATATATTATTTATGTGCATTTTTGTTCAACCCAGGGGGCCTGTTATTTGCCTTTTTATTGTAAATTTTCTTAATATAGCATAAGGATGGTTAAAAAATACATTCGTAAAGTAGACACTCGTAAGCTTTAAAATGGTGTGCATTGAATAACAATATAATGAAATATGAATTTTTAATTACTGCTTGTTTCAGAGATTTCTAGAACTCCGAAAACGTGTGAAAAATGCAAATAAACAAATCAATTTTGTTTTAAAACGCCAGGAAGATACTGGAAAAAAATTTCTGAGATCATTCGAGACATCTCAAGATACCATTTAAAACAAAAATTGGATAAAAAAACTATGAATGAATTACTATAAAGTGGTCCAAAATGGTGGGAAAACGCAACTTTGACCCCCTTTTTCAATGTTCTTGACAGGAAGTAAAGGGCTTCAAGGCACATGGATCGATACCTATGGGTTTTCCCATTGTAACGAACTTTGAATCATCGAAAAATATAAATTTTTGACCGAGTTCTGAAACAATTTGTCCACCCGTTTACAAGCTAATCAGCATTGCTATAGAGATAAAGCAGGGGCTGAACGAGGGGACTTTTGATTGCGGTTATCTCGAAACCTGTCGAATTCCCGACAAAAATGATAGGGGACCATTTTTGTAGATAATGATAAGATCTTTCTTTTTTATCTAAACAAAAATTCTCTAATTTGCATATTGTGGAAGATATTGGCGGGAAACCAGTTTTAGGGTCCATTTTGGGCCCTTTCCGACGCAGCAGAGTTGGTAAAAGTTTTCGCCCTTGAAAGCAACCGTCAAGACCTAAGAATTGAGCCACAAAGGAAATCTGGACCGACTTAATGACAGCTTTGCATATTTTCAGGTCTTCAGTTACTGGACTAATATAATATATAAATTTTTTTTCTCCTCCAGAAGAATTTCTAGGACGTGTTCTCTATTTAATTTTGCCATTTCATTAGGCATATCATTCAAGACAGAATATACATATTCCAAGGTTTTGTTTGTATTGTTTGGTTTTTGCTGCTTCTTATGTATATTTTGTAATGGATTTGGCAACGTTTAAAATTTAATTCTCACTCTCTTCAGGTGTCTTTCTTTTTCCTTTAACTTTATTAACCCATTAGCGCCGAAAAATAAAAAAAAATAAAATTATTAAAATTTATAGTTGCAACTTATTGTTAGTAAATAAAAGAACATGTTTTGAAAATATTTTATTTTTTTTTTTTAATAATAGTACCCTTGGGAAGGTGTTCCCATATGGTACCTTTAGATGCAACCCCAGTATTACACACTTATAGAAATTACACATTAGTTATTCTTAAAAATATTTCTACTGAATATGAAATGAGCGAAAGCAGTCGATACAAAGCCCTATATTGCACTTGGAGCACATTGTTCTTCCTCTGCTCTTACAATTTTCACCAGCACATCTTCTTTTTTTACCTTCAGGTATCGAAATGACGTAATGATGTAATCCGTCATATCTTAAATCATTACTGACCCTGGAATCAGCAGTAGCAGCTTTCGGAATTCGACCTGGATTTCGAGGCGGTACACCATATCTTGTCAGATATGTCTGAAAATTAAAAATACTACACTTTTAGTAGTCCTATTATTTTAATAAATATTGGAAGTTTTACCTGTACAATATTTCTTCTAAAATCTAACTGACTTATCTTTCTTCCACTCTTTCTATATAATGTCCAGGCGTTTTGAATTGCAGCATCAATCAGATAAGTAAAAATGGGCCAGTACCACTTTTTTGAGCGAACTCCAATACGGTAACTAAAAAATATATGTAAAATCACAGGTATAAATAAAATCAATAAAATAACTAACCATGAAATATTGTTGTCCATCTGGTCGGTCCCGCCCATATTCTTGTTATATTGCATGGTCAAATCTGGCCGTGGTACATTAACAATCTTCTTTTCACTTCTACTGAACCTCTGAACTGCCTTTACTGGTGCTACGCCATAAGAAGTGCTTGCCATCGTTACCACCTTATTATCAAGCCATCTTACATATAATATACCACTTTCTTTCTCTAATATAGCAGAATAATCACCTCTGATTTGCTTTTCTAATTGCTTTGTAGGTAAAAGAGGACAGTTCTTTGGCAATCGGTTTTCACGTATAGTACCAGTTCCGCCATAACCATTTGCTTTCAGAGTACATAATAAATTGGCACCAGTGAATAAATTATCGAAAAAGAAATTATATCTAAAGTTTTTTTTGTCACCCATTTCTTCTATCATTTGCAACAATGGAGCTGCTGCTTTACCATAGGACTTCTCGTATTCTGTATTTGATCTGGGATTCTTTCCTTGATAAATTTCAAAATTGATTAGATAGCCACTCGGAGTGTTTAGGCTCCAAACTTTATAGCCGAATCTCACAGGTTTGCCACGAATGAACTGCTTGCATCCATGGCGACCAAAATACCTGATCATCGATTCATCATATGATAGGTTTTCCTCGGGTACAAAGTGTTGAATAAATCTTTCTTTTATTTTATCTGTTAGGGATCGAAGCTTATACATTTTGTCCGATTTATCAATATCATTATTGTTTGCAACATGAATAAATTTGCAAATCTGCATAAAACGATCCCTTCTCATAGCTTCTGCTACCATAACGTTTTTTAAATCCTTGGAATTTTCCCAATAGTTCCTTTTCGATGGTAAAATGTTATACCCACTTAAAATAAGTATTCCCAGAAACACACGCAGTTCTTGAATGGTTACTTGAGGGTCGGGAATATTTTTGAACAGCGCATAATTTGTTGTTTCTTTACTAATCATCTGCAATATTTCATCGGTATAAAATAATTCAAAGATCTCCACACAGGACATAGAACTATATTCTGAGTAATCTCCACATGAAAATTTATGATTAGCATATTGCAAATCTCCCTTAGTAAATTTTGGCACATTAGGTTTCGATGCTAATTTCAAATCGCAGTCAGATATTTGACGCAAAGGAGTTACTTCCTCAAAGTCTGTTTCAGTCCCCAGCCTTTCGCTATTTGTCAGAACAACCTCTGCAGTAGCAGAAAGTTGCCTTGAACTCAAGTTTTCTACAAGACCTCCCTCATCCTCATCTGCTGAATCTTCGTCTGTAAGTGTATTACTCTCAGGAGGTTCAATAAATATGTCCTCGGCATCTTCTTCATCATAAATAATATCTAGTGCTTCTTGTAGCGTAATTCCACTAAAACAACAAAAAACACAAGCTAAAAAATTTCAAACCCCGTTAACGCCTAAAGAGCCCATTTGGGAACATCAAAGTTTACAAGAAACTATTTCATCAACAAAAAAGTGAAGACGAATTTGTTTTCTAGAGATAAATTGCTCTATGTGTTGGTTAAGTAAATGCTAAGTTGAATTTGAAACAGGAGTAATGACGTAATAAAAACAATACTTACACGAACTTGATGTCCATATTTCCAAAAAAAGTCTACAAGCACTGAATTCACCTAACGAAAATAACCAACAAATTTCAAAGCAAACCTGCAGAACCTTACTCACGTACTCCACAAACCTTACTGAACTAACGCTAAACATTTATACTACGCAAACACCGACCAGGCCCGTAATCAGCCCTTTGAATGCATCGCTAACGTCTGGCTCCATATGGTACCTTTAGGCGTTAATGGGTTAATAGAAAATCCAAAATCTTAATTTACCTTAAAATACAAATAATGGTCGGTACGTAACATTATTAATTCTGTGGCTTGGTTCTAAAAGTGCCAATTTGAAATTAATCTCATTATCAGTTAATTTTTGACATTATATTATCATAATGTAGAAATATTTTCTTTGAATTTATGTTTGGATCTTATTGTTCTTTAAGAATAAAGAATTCATTTCGAACTACATTTCATGTGAATATGAGATGAGAACAAAAAATATTAATTATTCAGTGGTTCATAAGTTAAAGGTGGCAGAATTGAGTCTGCATTATGCATGTATTAAACTTTTTAATAAATTATCTGATATAATTAAATTCATATTGAGTACAAATAGATTTAAAAAGGAAATAGAACCCTGAAATAAAGATTATTTTTCAATTTACAATTTTTTTAAAATTTTTCTTGTTCATGTTTACACTATTTTATCCTATATGTTCCATTACTCAAAGTATTTTTCTATTGTAAATGCTATTTGACATAAAGATTAATATACAATAATTTAAATACTTACTTTTAAAACCAGTTGGAGTTTGTAATGTTTTGTTAGGTTCTCCACTTGGGCTCCCTATGACCTCAGGTTGAAGAACTGTTTCATCCTCTACAGCTTCATCTTCTGGATCTATTTTATTATCCTGTGACTTTGGGGCATTTGGAGACATCATTGCGCTCCATGCACTTGTTCCATACCTCACTACCGCTACTTTACTCAAAGTAGCAGGATTTGCGCTGGGCGTACTCGTATATGTTCTAGACAAAAAATAATCCGTAAGCGAAACACAATAACGACAGCACTTGCATAAACTTACTGTCTCGGTTTCGTATATTTTTCATAAAATGCCATCTTAGGGAAAAGACCCCACCTTGATTCAGGGGCTCCCGAGCCTGCTATGTCCATTTCCCTCTTTTCCCTGGTGTACCTGTCTCTCAGGGCTTTCCACAGTTTCTGGCAATTAACAGCTAAAAACAATAGAAAATCTGTTTTAAATAGGCCTACATTATGAGTTTTATAACTAACCAGTTCTGTGTATAGCAGATGCTAATTCTCCCCAAACGTGATACTTTTTTTTATTATTTTTATAATCTGTGTTTCAGATTGTATAAAAATTCATAATTCTGAATTAGCTCCAAAAGAAATCCATTGAGGTCCTCCTGGCTCTCTTCTTTAACCTCAACACTTAAAAAATTATCAATTTCAGACATCGATAACACACGAACAAACCAAAATCCAGCTTAAAACCATTTCACAAGGCACGAGCGTTGATCTTGCATCACTATCCATGATAGCTGCCTTCAGTCGTATCAGCGTCTTTTTACTGACATGTAGGTCTACCAACTTACATTTAAACAATATAGCGGGAAATTCAAAATACTAGGACATTAGATCGACTTCGTTCACTTTATTTAACCGTAACCAAAAATACATAAATTTGCTAAATACTACAGACATACTCGTAATTATTTAAAACATAACCTTAATAGTTTGCGAAACATAACGTCGGTGAAGTCCTAATACCTCGTAACCCACAAATGATAAATTTTACAGGAGACGAATAAAACATCTCGACTTTGAGACACTGGTTTAAATAAATTTTAGGAAGTGTTTTGACAGTAAAATTACCTTAGTTTTTTTTATAAATGGACTAAATTTTACTTATTTTCTCAAATTAAGTGAAATATTGTGGGATACGATAGATATATTTCTTTCATTTGCTTTATTTATAAACCAGCGAAATTTAAGACCTATGCTACAAATTACTTTATTAGGATTAGTTCTGATTCAGGTCCACGGATCATTGCGAGGAAGGGCCCGCTTGCATGGGTCGCTTCCTCCTTCTTATTCTTATGTAACCATTTTTTTATAATTAATTAATGCCCCTATTCTTCTAACTTTTAATTAATTTACTTAAAATTCCCTTGAATTGATTTCAATTAGTTGTTTAACAGTTTTCGCAGATGTAACAATTCGCGTTTAAATTATCCCAATCTTCAGCGGCGAGACATCCGTCCACTACCCCTAATGTCTGATCACACAAGAGGTGTTGGTCGGTATCTGGGCCTTGAAAATCTGTTTATTCAATGTCTGGTCACACAGAAAAAACTAATTTTCTTACCGATTGGGATTTTTACTGATTTTTTAACACACTCAATCTCTATCAGCGGGTGATTGTCACCTATCCCTAATGTCTGATCACACAAGGGATACGTAACCGTGTTGTGCCCCCGGAATACCTTCGCTTCAATGTCTGATCACACAGAAAGAAAGGTATTCGTATCGATTGGTGTATAGGAAGTTATTCCCTCTATGTCTAATCACACCGAAGGTTTAACTAGGAAAATTGGGAACCTTGTCTCAGGGTCTGATCACCAAGAGATAAGTTTCAAGAAGCAAAAATACCGTAAAAACACCTGCGTCAACTATCGTACAACCCTTGTATTTAGGCAAAAGGAAATATTAATACAAATTACAAAACAAAAAATTTGTAACTCTGCCTTTTATAAAAGAAAAATTTGAAATTAAACCTTTTAGGAAATATAATTTCATAAAGTGAGGTAGCTGTGTGATTTAGTTATTTTTTTTTTTAAATTTTTATTAAAGGTAGAACAAGGAGTTAATTAGGAAGAATTCGAGATTTTTAAACCGGCACCATATGTCACGACCCCTTTTTCTATGGGTCGAAAGAATTATTTAATCTTATTAATTCGGGCTACCTTTCTTTATGAAATAAAAGTCGAGTTAAAATATAACAATTTTATTCATCAATAAATAATCAATATTCAAAATGTAAAATAGATAATTGAGGAGCTTGCGTTCAAAAGCGGCTATATCCATTTAGAAAAAATGTTCAGGAATCAACGAAAACTTCTCATCGGTTCGCCTTAATACATAGGGATAGCAAAAAATGTTTATTTGTAGTGTTTTAGGAAAGCAGTTTGACGCAATTTGAAATTTTTTCTCAAATCTCAGTAGTTTTTGAAAAAAATTGGAAATTAATTTGGATATAGACGGTTTTGATAGCAAAGCCATAAAAATTCTCGACAAAAAAAAATAAAATGCTTGGAAAACACATTTTTATTATAAAACTGGAACACAAAACATATTTTAATTAGGAAAATTCAACACAGATATGAAAAACAAAAAAAAAGAAACAAGAGAAACATAAAATATTTATATATGAAGAGCAGCTTCTTCATCTAAACAGTCAAATGGCACATCCTGTTCGCCCTTATCTTCTTCCTTGTCGCTAGTTTCTGTATCTGCATTACCAGAAATAAGTAAATCTTTATACCATTTTAGATCTGCTCGCGACATCCAATTTTCACCGAACAGCTCTTTCAAAAGCTTTCTAAGACTATGTTTCTTCTTATCCGGTAAAGAGTTTCTGGGCTGTATTATGTTAAGAACCAGGTTGTCATTGTCTTTTCCTTTCTTTAGCATTATCTGACGCGATTTATCTTCAGGTGAAAACCGATAATACAGATGTGTATTCACTTCAATCTTAGGATTTCGTTGATTTTTGTTACTTTTTGTGATAAAAATTCTTTTTGTTTCAGCAATGCCCTTAACCTTATTGTACACTTTCTCTAGTTCTTTTACATTATAAATTTTCCAGTCGTTTCCTAAAATTTTCACTTGTCCGACTTCTGAATAAAATTTAATGTATTCCTCTTTAGAAAATATATCAGTATTTTTCCTAAGCAACCTCTCCACTCTCCCAAAACAACGATCAGCAGCCATGAAGCTATGTCCGCGGACTGGAAAAGTGATTGAGATTTCGGACAGACCTTCTGGATACTTATTTTTAAGCCAAAACATAAGTGCGTGAACTATGTAGGAATTTTTGTTTTGGCCTGTACAGCCATCACAGAAAAGTCTTATTTTCTCAATTCTATCGTAGTCAAGAGAATCTAGATGGTGAAGAAGTGCTGAGGCAATTTCTGTTGAGCCACGCCCAGCATAATCTTCAGTCCACACATAGAAAGTTGGATTACGCGAAGACAGCTCGACACAGCAAAATGCGTATAAACTTATCTGATGTGAGTAAAAGGCATCGCCAATAGCCGTCCGAGGTAAGGGCTGTACCTGTTGAAGGTCAAAGCAGAAACTTAAACTATTTTCTGGGGCTTCTTTGGCTAACTCATAAAAGGCAGCAGCACGTTTTCTATGTACGCGGTATTCCACTAGCAGCTGATTTTTAATTTCAGCTTTTGTCTCAAATTTGTACTGTTGCTTCAATCGCGTACATTTACTACACACATCTGAGGCGGGCGATGAAAACCCGATGTTAAAATCGTGTATAAAAATTTTTCGAAACATAAAATATGATACCCGATTTTGTGGGTATTCCTTATTAAACAGTCTCCATAACTTGGCAACTGACAGACTTGCAGACAAGTATATTCTTTTTGACTTTTTCCTGTTATAATGGCTTTCGCGTCCTTTTAGTCTCTTGAGAAAATGACGAACACATTCTTTTTTTCTTCACTTTTTTGAGATTTACGATCACCGCCCCTATTTTCCTTCGGGACTCCACCTGCAAAGAGGACTTTTGCAACAGTATTAACTCTTTGTTTGGAGATACTCAGTGCAACAACAAAAAACTTTTGACACACCCGCGTTGCTTTATTGTCACACTTAATAAAATACGAGATACTGAGATTCTTCAAGGGAACCACATTAACACCATCCGATCTTCGACGAGCAATAGAAGCGACGGATAACATATGACACAGTCTAATGTCTTGGTTAGTTTTGATCGAATCTGCATAAAAGTTCTGCCTTAAAGTCTGAATGTGCCGTTTTTTAACTGTAGCACACTGAAATGATTTGCCATTATGTTGACAAGGCCGTCCGAATCGAATCAGTGCTGGGTCGGGGTCGCCATATCTGTAAAATGCAAAAAAAACTTGCACTACCGCTAAAAAAGGCCATATTTATCTCAGATGAGACTCAACTCAAAACATACAAACGTATGTTTACAAATAAGTTACTGCTGTATTCATAAAAAAAGCGTACAACATGACAAGTAAACATAAGAATTACATTAAAAACTGTTAATGAGTCTAAACCATTTGTATGCCTTTTTTATGAATTCAACTGTACATAAAAGCTATGTAACTAGTAAATCGTAGAATATTTAATTAGTTCTTACCTTGATAACTGTTTAGTCTGGCGTTTTGTCACATTTTTCATACGGCATCTAGAACCTTTATTTCCTTGCTCCACGGTAATAAGTTCTTCATTCATATTGCACGTGGATCGTCGTCAATTCCGAGATCAAACAAGCACTACTCTCCACAGAATTTAGATGATAACTGGTAGTCAACCAGTCAACGCGGCATCGCCAATGCAGATCTTACAGTCTTGCCAGATGCACCACTATGTTGCCGTATTTCTGAATATAACGAATTATTGGATATAACCACCTTTGATCGCAAAAAGAGGATATAGCCAGTTTTGATGCAAAAGGCCGACTTTATATACGATTTTAAAATACAAATAGCCCGTTTCGAACGCAAATGATCGTACCGGTTGATAAATCTTGTGAAACTTAGCCGAAAATCGCAAAAAAAGCATATCGACAAAAAAAGGGAGATAGCCGCTTTTGAACGCAAGCTCCTCAATTGTAATATACAATATAGAAGGCCTTACCAAAACATCCCCGTTAGTGGCACGTCACGACGCTTACCCCAAAACTAAAATGTATCTATTACTTTAGATGCCTCTCAGTACAGCAATAGGAGAACTGTCGTCGTAACAGTAAATAGTGTCGAATTTATACCTATTAACTATTTGCTGAATTTGCTATTTATTTAGTTCGACACAATTAATGCAGGTCGGTAATAGTTCAACGTCTATGTTTTTGTTATGAAATGTATACAATATTATTTACTCAAGGATATATTTACATTTAAGAGATTATTGAGATTTTCTATTAGAGATAATTATATTTATTAGGATTTATTTAAAAGTATAATAATTTATTTTAATGTATTTTAATAATGTTTTTTTTTTTAAATATTTTACTGGACGTGACAATAGTATAGTTGGTACTATTATTGTATCCAGCAGGATTTAAAGATTCAATGGTACTTGTTTCAAATGCTTCTTCTACAAAAGACGTGATTTTCCATTTGCATGTTATTGGTTATCATTTTTGAAGTAACAAATAATGGCAAAGTCAAAAAAGTATCTACATCGTTTAGAAAGAAAAATCCCATATGATGCGCACTTAATATGTAACACTGTATATTAACAAAAATAAAGTAAGTAAAATCCACGTAAAACGAATTAATTTTATATTACTTAAAATATTAACATTTAACTCTTTATAACTATCTATTTTGAGATTCTTAACCGATCTGCCTAATTCATTGC